AAAAAAAAATCCAAAAGGGACCACTTTACATCCTTTATTTTTTTATCATTTTCATTCTCTGGAATCATCTTCAACCCTCTTCCATCTTCTCTGCTTTCATCCTCCACCATTATCTTCATATTTGAACAATTCTTTAACCTGAAATTGCTTAAAAATTGCTTCAAAATAAAACAAATCCCTTACATTCATAGGTCAAGCGAAGAAAAATCAAGTAACCAAGCTACGAAATTGGTTCGCAGAGTCCGGCGACCTGAGTCGCGACCACCGGCGAACTGAGTCGCGTTTGTACCGTGTTCCAGTACGAACGACTCAGGTCGCGATTCGCAGCAACGTACCGCGAACCTTGTAACGCTGAATGAGGTTACTGACACGGGAGCTAACCGTGCCAGCATCAAAACCACTCATAGGTGGCGAAATTTTTGCGTATAATAATAATAAAAAGGAATGTACAGTGTCTTGTACTCCAGTAGAAGTTATGGTTAAATATAAAACCCCATAACTCCCCCCATATGTTCATACTCAAGGTATATACGTTCCAAGAGTTTTGGTGCGTAATCTCTTTCACTTTACGTTATTTACAGAATACTAAACTTGGTGATGACTCTCAAACCAAAATCATTCAATCAACAATAATTATTCAAACAATCATAATTATTCAAACAATCAAACATACCGATTTAATTCTTGATTAATTAGTGACCACATAAAATTTAATGTTGAACCCTTTTTAAATCTACCTCAGTGTCAAAGACACCTTAAACGCATAAAGCACCACAAATCCTATCCCTCGGTGTTGAAAACACCTTAAATGCACTAAGGCACCAAAATATAATTTATTCCTCGTGTACAAAGACACTTAAATAGCTCCTTCCTCATGCTTATAGCATCAATAAAAATTATATGAACCATATTAAAATTTTCTTTTAATATTCCAAACCATATTAAACATTTAGTTTAATTAAACATGTTCTCTAACATGCCACAAATAAATATGTGGTTCATAAACAATACTCCAAACTATAACTTTCCAACCAATAATCAATCACAAATAAATCATGCTTCATTACTCAATCACCAACAACAACCAATACTACTTGTAATCAATTAAACACCTTTAGCATGCTACTACATCAATAAAATTATGCTAAGTACGCGAACGTACCTCAATTAAGCCCTTAAAGTGGCCGAAAACACTACAACAATTCCCGAATCAAGTCTCCTACATAAAGGGACAATAATACTATATTAATTACCCTTGTATACACAATTTCCAGCAACTTAAACTCACTTTAAACAACTTATAATAATCTGAAAATTATTTTAAAACCCTTAATTAGTTTCTCTTTTGATGGGTAATTAAACCCTTTCTTTAAAATAACAATACCACTACTTTAACTAAAATTCCAGCAATATTACTAGATTAAAACCCCCTTAAAATATTTATCAAAACATACTTTTATGCCCAATTAATCAATAGAAATGCAATAGAAACAAAAGCCCCAATTTAAGTTGTCACAAGAACCCTAAAATCCCAATTTAAATAAATTGAAACCCTAGGTTTTAAAATTATAAAATCTAAAAATTTAACCAACATTAATAATCTGAAAATATTAGTTTAAAACATCAAAAACATAGTTTTGATACTAATTTAATCAATTTCAAACAATAAAAATTAAACCCAAACAATTTAACAAGTATTAGGAAAGATATGATAATATCTTTACAAAATATTATGTGATTATGCAAGATATATTTTCTAGTTCATCTTAGGAAAAGATAATTAGTTTCCTAAGTTAGATAAGTTTTGGTTTCCTTGTTGCTCAAGGAGAAATCTTGTATAAATATTGATGTTGGTGGAATAATATGATCAAGAAATACAATTCTAATTCTTCTATACTCTTTCAAGATTATCATGGTATCGGAGCAAAGGTCTCAATAAAAAAAAAATTCATAAACCATGCCGGGGGAGGACGGAACACCTCCACCACCACCAACAAAAATAGAGCCTAACTCACCGTTTTATCTTGGACCTCAAGATCGTCCAGGCGACTTCATTACCTCTCAAAGACTTAAACTTGACAATTTCAATGAATGGTCTCATGCAATCTATATTGCATTATCCTCACGAAGAAAGTTTGGTTTTCTTGATGGCTCAATCACCAGTTACGCCCCTCCTTGCACTAAAGACGATTGGATCACAATACACTGCATGCTCATCTCAAGGCTTATGAACACTATCGATCCGGAGGTTCGTACTATGCTGTCAAATTATGATAATGCCAAAAAGGTGTGGGATGACTTTCAAGAAGGCTTTGGTCTTGTGAACGACCCCCGAATTCAACAACTAAAATCGGAAATCAGCAGGTATGAGCAACCAAAATCGATGCCCGTTGCGGTCTATTTTAGCAAATTATCGGTTCTATGGGATGAGCTTGATAAGCATGAACCTTTAATCAATTGTAAGTGCGGCAAGTGTACGTGTGATATAGGCAAGCAGCATGCTTTGAGGCGTGATGGTGACCGTCTTCAACAATTTTTGCTTGGGCTAAACTCTGACTACTACTCTGCACTACGCTCTACTCTCTTATCCCAAGATCCCTTTCCTACATTAAATAGGGCGTTCCAAACATTTGCTCAAGAGGAACGTGTTATGGGGATTGCTAGTCACAAGGAAGAAACCCCTGAAGTAGTAGGCTTTGCGGTTTGGATGGACAGCAAGACGAAGCCTCGCCTTTCGCGTGCTGAGAAGGCTACTCTTATATGCGCTTATTACAAGCAAAGGGGTCATGATGACACCACCTGTTTTGAGAAACATGGCGTTCTCGAGTGGTACACAAAACGATATGGCTCCAAAGAGCCCAATAAACGTCTAATGGGGCGTGGCAATGGGGCCTCCTCTAGCCATGGGCAGGGCACTCAAGTCAAAGCTAATGCAACCCCTCCCGCGGCTACCCCACCTGATTTAACTGCTCTTGGTTTTCCCACTGCTGCTGCTCAAATTCCACCCCTCTCTGCCGAGCAGTGGCAGGCGGTCATGGTTGTGATGGGTAATTCCCAACCTCCACCCACCGTGTGAATGGTAAGTAGATAATTGACACGGGTTGTTCTCACCATGTCACAGGAAATATTTCATACTTGGTGAATGTTCGGGATGTGTCACCTTGTAATGTTGGCCTTCCGGATGGTCAGAATGTTATTGCTATGAAGGAGGGGGTTGTCAAATTAAATGACAAAATCACTCTCCACAATGTTCTTTTTGTACCTAAATTAAATTGCAACTTAATTTCGGTTTCACAATTGTGCTTCACTAGCTATTGTGAAGTCATAACTAACTCTATTGCATGTACTATACAGGACCAACGCACGAGAGAGGTGATTGGCACGGGTGATCTAAGGGATGGACTATACTATTTTCGAGAGGAGGCATCCATAGCGGCCGTTTCTATTGAAGACTCGTCCACATTGAAGCTTTGGCATAGACGTTTAGGGCATCCTTCCGAGAAAGTTGTAAAACTCCTTCCTTTTCTTAGCAATTCTAGGGGTCATTTAAATAAATATTGTGAAGTGTGTCATCGTTCTAAACACACTAGGGACAAATTTCCTTTAAGTGAAAATAAAGCTTCTCGTATTTTTGAAATAGTTCATTGTGATTTATGGAGGCCATACAATGAACCCTCTTCTTGTGGAGCTCATTATTTTTTTACATTAGTTGATGATTATTCTCGTGTCGTTTGGATATATTTGTTGATTGATAAAACAGAGGTGTTTAAGATGTTTATGTCATTTATAGCCATGATTGATAGATAATTCTCCCAGAAAATAAAAATAGTACGAAGTGATAATGGTACTGAATTCTTTTCTTTGAAAAATTATTTTTTGGCTTAAGGCATTCTATTTCAAACATCTTGTGTGGGAACTCCTCAACAAAATGGGAGGGTAAAGAGAAAACACCAACACATTCTTAATGTTGCTCGTGCCCTTCGATTTCAGGGGGGTTACCAATTTATTTTTGGGGAGAGTGTGCTCTTGCGGCTGCACATCTAATAAATAGAACACCATCTGCTCTTCTTAACAATAAAACCCCTTATGAATTGTTATTTGGTACTCCACCTTTGCTTAATGAGGTGCGTGTGTTTGGGTCATTATGTTTTGCTCATAATCAAAAGGGAAAAGGTGATAAATTTGCGAGTCGTAGTCGAAAGTTTGTCTTTGTCGGTTATCCTTTTGTGAAAAAGGGATGGTATTTGTATGACTTAGATAAAAAGGAATTTTTTGTCTCAAGGGATATTCGATTTTATGAGGATGTGTACCCCTATTTGGATGCCGAAAGTACAAATATTGATACTTCAACTCCTAGTATGGATTCTAATGTTGGCATGGGAGATGACTTGGATCTTTTATATACTCTCGGGGAAGGCTATACTACCTTCGATGATGCGCCGCTTGTGGATGATGTACCCACAGTGCAACCTCCTGCCGAGACCACCATCCAAGCAGAGCCGAATGCAGCAGCCACGACACCTGAGGCTATGGGGCGTGGATGTCGAGAAAAATTTGCCAACAGCAAATACAAGGATTTTGTGACTCACACACAGGTTACTCGAAATAGTCCATCTCCTTCACCTGCTCCAGTCAACACACCTCCCTCAGGTATGCCGTATCCTATAGCACATTATATTAGTTGTGATAAGTTTTCTGCAAAACATCACAATTTTGTTGCAGCAATAACAGCAGGAAGAGAGCCTCGTTCCTTCAAAGAGGCGATGCAAGATGAAGATTGGAAAATAGCCATGAAAGAAGAAATGAGTGCTCTTGAAAATAATGGCACGTGGACCTTGGAGAAATTACCTCCCGGGAAAAAGGCTCTTGGTAGCCAATGGTTGTACAAAATTAAGTACAAATCTGATGGTAGCATTGAGTGATTAAAAGCTTGATTGGTTGTTTTTGGTAATCATCAAACCAAAGGCATTGACTATGATGAAACTGCCCCGCTGGTCAAGATGACAACAGTTCGTGCCTTTCTTGCTATAGCCGCTTCAAAAAATTGGGAGCTACATCAAATGGATGTGCACAATGCTTTCCTCCATGGTGATTTACATGAGGAGGTATATATGAAACTTCCTCCAGGCTATACTTTTTATGAGTCGGGTCTTGTTTGTCGACTCAGAAAATCGTTATATGGTCTCAAACAAGCTCCTGGGTGTTGGTTTGCCAAGCTCACCCCTGCTTTGAAAAATTATGGTTTTGCACAATCTTACCCGGACTACTCTCTTTTTACATAAACCAAGGGGTCTATTCAACTCAACGTTATTGTTTACGTTGATGATTTAATTGAAGCCGGAAATAATTCAAATGCTATAAAATTATTCAAGCATTATTTGAGTTCTTGTTTTCATATGAAGGACTTGGGAGTACTCAAATATTTTCTTGGCATTGAAGTGGCTAGGAGTCCTACGAGGCTGTTTTTAAGCCAACGTAAGTATTCTCTAGACATAATTTCGGAGACGGGTTTAATGGGGTCGAAGCCTGCACACACCCCAATGGAACAAAACCATAAATTGGCTCGAGCCACTGGGCCTCTTCTCACAGACCCTACTGCGTATAAACGCCTTGTTGGGCGTTTGGTTTATTTGGGAGTAACTCGCCCAGACTTAACTTACTCGTTGCACGTCTTGTCTCAGTTCATGAAAGCACCAAAACAAGAGCATTGGGAGGCAGCAATGAGAGTGGTGCGTTACCTCAAATGCACTCCGAGTCAAGGAATTTTACTAAGGTTAAATAGTGAGCTCACATTGCAAGGGTGGTGTGTCTCCGACTGGGCAACTTGCCCTCTCACTCGGCGTTCTCTGTCTGGGTGGCTGGTCTTCTTGGGCAAATCACCAATTGCGTGGAAAACAAAGAAGCAAGACACGGTTGCCACTTCTTCTCCCGAAGCTGAATATAGGTCGATGTATGGTATCACTTGTGAAATGAAATACTTAAAAGTCTTGCTCCTAAGTTTAGGTGTTCAACATCCACGAGCCATACTTATTTTTTGTGATAGTCAAGCAACTATTCATATTGCTCAAAATCCCGTGTTTCATGAGCGCACTAAACATATTGAGGTGCATTGTCACTTTGTTTGTGATGCTATTCAAGAGGGTCTTATTACTACTACTCATGTGCGTACAAATGAGCAATTGGCCGACATCTTTACAAAGGCCTTGGGTAGGACACAATTTGAATATCTTCTAAGCAAGTGGGGCATCTTTAATCCAAGTGCTCCAACTTGAGGGGGGGGGGGGGGTATTACGAAAGATATGATAATATCTTTACAAAATATTATGTGATTATGCAAGATATATTTTCTAGTTTATATTAGGAAATGATAATTAGTTTCCTAAGTTATATAAATTTTGGTTTTCTTGTTGCTCAAGGAGAAATCTTGTATAAATATTGATGTTGGTGGAATAATATGATCAAGAAATACAATTCTCATTCTTCTATACTCTCTCAAGATTATCAACAAGCATTAAGCATAAATACAATAAAACCAAGGAGAGAGAAGGGAGGAAAAAAGATGGTACGGCGGTGGTGGTCCGGGCGACCACCAACAGGTTGTCGGCGACAACAGGTGGCTGGCCGACAACAAGGCTGGACGGACAGCAGCCGCGTCCCTACTGCTGCTTGTTCACGCAAGGGAGAGGGAGGCAAGGGCTATGGGTGGTGGTCACTGGTCAGGTGGCAGGGCGTCACCGGCGTCTGAACTCCGGTTGGAGCGAGTCGACGGTGGCCGCGTGTTAGCAGCTGCGGTGGGGGCTTCTTTGTTTTCACGTGAAGGGTGAAGGGGAAAGGAAAGAATTGAAAGAAGAGAAAGAAAAGAAAAGAAAAGGAAAAATAGTCCATTTTGACCATTTGACTATTTGTATGGGGAATTTTAGGGATCTATTAGATATATATAGTGTAGGGTAATTAGAGTAGGTTTGGGCTTCATACAGTCATGGAGTTAAAATAGTTAACCCAAATACAAGAGCAAGATGAATTGGTTTATTATGAAAATGAGCTACATTTGGATTATTGACCCAAATATAAATACTTGCTTTATTTATAATCCAATAATTAAAATGGTTTGACCCAAAATATATTTTATAATTAAATAAATATTTTATAAAATACGGGGTATTACATTTGAGGCTTATGGTTTTACCTTCTACCAAGTCTGAGTCCAATTGTTCTAGGCAAGGTAGATTTAGAGTTAGGATTAGCAGAATGTTAGGTATCATTTAAGGGTGAAATTAATGCGGTTTAAATTAATATCGAACCATACCGCAAACCAAACCAAATTAGAAATGTGGTGTGGTTTTTTCTAATACGGTTCGATGCGATTTGAGAATCTTAAAACCGAACTAATATGGTTTGGTTTCAGTTTTAAGATTTGAAAAACCAAAAATCAAAATCCAAACCGAATTATATCCTAACCCAATACTAATTTCTACTCTACATATATAAAGCCAAAAAATAATAAAATTTGGGTTTTTTTTTGTCCTAGAATGTCAACTAATGTGGGCGATGTTGGAGTGAATGCCCAGTTAGATGGAGCAAAAAGGAGGAGGATGAAAAATTTCGGTGTGGTTCGGTTTTGTTTTGAAAACCCAAATTTAAAACAGTGTGATTTGGTTTAGTTTAATTTCAATAGTAATATGGTGTGGTGTGGTTTGAAAATAAATCACAAAATCGAATTAATGTGGTTTTGTTTTGGTTTGGGATATAAATTACACCGCAAACTGAACTTTCACCCCTAGAATCATTGGGAAGCTCAATCCCTAATTTAGAAGATGGTAGGCTTCTAACCATTGGTGCGGCTAGGGGTGTTAACGAGCCGATCCTACTCGTGAACTGTTCGATGCTCGGCTCGATCAAAGCTCGGCTCGAGCGGGCTCGACTCGAGTTCGAGTTCGGCTCGACATCTTAACAAGCCAAGCCTGAGCCACCCATGGCTCGGCTCGAAAGCTCATGAACAAGCTCGAATATTATTTTTATATTAACATTTTATTATATATATTAAAAAAATAACAAATAAATAAATAAATAAATAAATAAATAAATAAAACTATTTAGACTTTTTTTGCATACATATTTCCCAATTCTTATATTGGGCCTCATTTTCATTTATAGATTTACCCTCCATTATACACATCTCAATATACCTTCAAGTTTCAACCCTAGTCGTTATTGCCTGATTGCCTCCCTTAGTTCTTCACTCCATTGTTTGCCTCACTCCTCTGATCCAATTAAACAATCCTTTGACGGGTGAGTAATCTTCCGATCAAACTCCGATTTCACCTGTTTGTCTCATTCTTTTGGTCCGTTAGTCCTCCGAAGCTCCGACAAAAAAATGGCAGGTGATTTTCATTCAATTATCTCATGAAATTATTTAAGTTAGTTATGAGTGATATATTGATTATGTAATTAAGCAAGATTTGATTTCATAGTTTGGTTATGAACAACATAATCAAATTCGTTTATCTATGCTTAATATCCTGTACGAGTTTGTTTGGCTATGAGTATAAATTAATTTATTTTTGTTTAAATTTGTTAATTTTTTGGTCAAATTACTGTGTTTCCGGTTGTACTTATTAAATTTATTATAAATTTTTTGTTAAATAATGTCTTGTACTCGTGCAATAAGTTTCATATTTCTTCATAATTTGTGGGTGCATGTTAAAATAGAGAATTTAATTGTTAAAATAGTTGGTAATTGAAATTGTATAATACCACTGTGCATTTGTGCATTGTCTCTAATTTTTTTATGTTGCATTATTTTTCCTCAGATGAATGTAATTATACACAATTACCAACTCCTAATTGTTCTTCTACACCTCTTGTTGAAGAATTTTTTGTGAATCACGGTGACGAAATGCAAATACCCAATGTTGAATTGGAGGAGGAGGACAACGTTGAAGAAGGGGTACCCATTAACAACCAATCAGAGACAAATAAGGAAGATGTATCCCAACCTGCTAAGAGAGCAAGGACATCTGAAGTACGGAAGGACTTTGACGAACCTTTCCTCTTAAGTGGAAAACGGAAAACTAAATGTAAGTATTGCAAAAGAATTCTTAGTTTTCCCAAATCTGGTTGTACAAGTCATTTAATACGTCATGCTTCTACTTGTTTACCAAAAAAAAATTATTGAAAAAACAATCTATACTAAACTTTGTGCCATCTGATTCAAGTGCGGGTACACCTGATTCTGGGTTTATTAGTGCTTTGCATAATGGTAAGCTTGATATGTTGAGTATGATAGAAGGGATTGCAAATTGGAAAGGAAAATTTGTCAAAAATAACACCACCTTTAAGCGGTCTTCCCTAAATAACACCACCTTTTAATTATTCCACAATAACACCACCTTTGATACACATCTGCCAAAAATAAAACAAAAAACCTGTAACCTGTTTTACAGGTTACAATTGACACATGTCACATGTGTGATTGGTTAATTTTTTTATTTTTAAAAAGAAAAAACTTAAATTAAAAAAATTTAAAAAACCTATTTTTTAAAAAAAAAAATTTAAAAAATGAAAAAAAGGAAAATTCCTCCCCTTAACGGCGGCAACCCCACAACCACCTTCTAGGGCTGCCACCACCGCCGACGACCAGAGATCATTACTGGCGGTAACAGCGTGACCACTCAGCCTGAGTTCCCGACCACCCAGCCCCTCCTCTTCTCCTGAACCACCTTCATCCACCCTAAAACCCTTCTCCCTCCCCTCGAAAACCCCCCTCCCCTCACCGGCCGCCAGCCGAACCCCCTCCCCTGTGCCGGCGAAACTACTTCGCCCCCCCCCCCCCCCCCACCGGCCGTCTCCACCTACTTTCCCCTTTGAACCACCATCCAAAATCCCTAAAACCCCAAAATCGAGTGGTTTAGGATTAAATGGTTTCGACCTTTTGGTGGTGGGTTAAGGGGGGAAGGGGGTGCAGACGACCGGCGAAATGGTTAAGCCGGCACAGGGGAGGGGTTTCAGGCGCCGACGGTGGTGGCAGCCTGGTAGGTAGAGGTGGTGGGAGGGCTTTTCTTTTCTTTTTTTTTAATTTAAAGTATTTTTTTAAAAAAAAAATTAAAAATTTTTAAGGTTTTTCTTTTAAAAAATAATTGTTAAAAAAATTGACCATTGATAGTGTGACACGTGTCACAGGTAACCTTTTAAATAGATTACCAACCGGTCATGTTTTATTTTTGGCAGATGTGTATCAAAGGTGGTGTTATTGTGGAATAATCAAAAGGTGGTGTTATTTAGGGAAGACCGCTTAAAGGTGGTGTTATTTTTGACAAATTTTCAAATTGGAAATGCATGAGAAACCATTTTATGTTGTAGAAGAAGTAGGGTTCAATATGATGTTAAAGAGGGGAATACCACAATGGACAAGTGTATCACGTCATACTATAAGAAATAATGCATTTAAAGCTTATGAGATTGATAAAAAAAAAAGTTGAAAGAAACCTTAAAAGATGTGGATAGGATTTCTCTAACCACGGATTTATGGCGTTCAAGACCACAAAGGATTGAGTACATGGTTCTTACGGGTCATTATGTTGATCGTGATTGGAAATTACAAAAGAGAGTGTTGAGCTTTGTACATATACCTCCTCCTCGAAAGGGAAAAGACATAGCAAATTGCATATTTAAGTGTTTAAAGGAGTGGGAGATTGAAAACAAAGTAAGTTGTTAATTATACATATGAATATATTTATTCCATATACTTGTTATTAGTGATAAAATTAACACCTTTTTTTTTCTTAGGTCTTCACGATAGTGGTTGATAATGCCACCGCAAATGATTTATGCATACAAATCATGAGAGACACTTTCTCACATACTAAGAGGTTGATTTGTGGGGGAAAATTGTTCCATGTTCGTTGTTGTGCACATATTCTTAACATCATGGTGCAACATGGTCTCAAACAAGTCAAATCAATCATTAAGAATTTTCACGATTATGTGGATTACCTTAATGGAAGGGAGGCAAGATTAATAAAGTTTTGTGAGATTGTCCAACAATTTAATCTCAAAGAGAGGAAACTAATTCTTGAATGCAAGACCCGATGGAATTTAACATATGATATGCTTGCTTGTGCTCTCAAATTTAAGGAGGTATTTTCTAGACTTGCTTTAGAGGATAATGAGTATGTTTATTGTCCTAGTGCCGATGAGTGGTTGAAAATTGAAAAATTGTGTGATATCCTAAAGTTGTTTTATGATACTACTAATATTATCTCGGGCTCAGAAT